AGTCAACAGTGTGAACAAAAAGCTGGTTATTTTTGGGTGTATTAACAGCAGTACTGTACAAGAGGTAACTATCCCACTCTACTTGGTGGAGGTGAAGCCTCAGCTGAAGGACTGTGTCCAATTTCAGTAGCCATAGTTTAGGAAGATGGGAAGAAAAAATGATAAGCCTGACCTATGAGAAGAGTTTTAAAAAAACTACATATTTAGTCTTAAAGGGTGACAAAGGGGGCCTCATAAATCTTCAAATATATTATGGGCTGTTATGAAAAGAACAAGGACCCCACTGAAGGTAGGACAAGAAGCAGTGTTCTTAATCTGCAATGAAAACAGGCCATTTCTTGGGCCAATTAATGCTAACATTTCAAAAATCCCATATAAAATCTATACCACAAAATGTTGAGCAGAAATGCTGATGTATCAGCCCACAGGCACTTGTTTTTCCAGCCCAACAGTGACTCCAGAGCTGTTACCAAGAATTTATTACAAACATTTATATACTGATTATCAGTGTTATGTGCATTTTTCAAAATGATAAGCTCCCCACACAAAGTCTTCCTCTAATGCAAGAGTATTTCAGACACCCACAGGAATCCAAGGGCAAATTCCTGCACCAAGGAGAAAGTAAGAGCCAAACCCCAATAAGCTAGGCTTTGCTGATCATTTCCAAACACTTCCTCTTACTGTCAGATTTTTTTTGACCGTCACGCTACCATACATTTAGAATACAAGAGAGCAACAATAATAACAGGAAGAACAAATAAGTGACTAGGGTGCTTGGAGTAGAAGGAGCAGAAGACACTTTGCAAAGAAACCTAGGACGAATTGAAGACTATTAAACTGAGGACCTTGGAGGTGGAAGGAACACAACAAACAAACTTTTTAAAAATAGCATAATAGAGAGAGAGAGAGAGAGGGAGAGAAACTAAAAATATGCACAATAAAATAGCATAATAGAGAGAGAGAGAAAAACTAAAAATATGCACAAGAGCAGCAGTATGCCTGAGGCAACAGGCCATATTACACAGGGGGCACCTGAGATGAAGCAGGGCCTTCTTCAAGGAAGGGCTGAGGTGAACTAGATAAGTGCTTGGTATTTACCACAGAAAAGAGGGCTGTGTCATGCTTTAAAGAGAGAAAATGTCAGTCAACACCAGCTCTCACCCCTTGGACTGTTCAGTCAGCATCCAGGGAGCACACAACAGTCCAGAGGTCACACACTTCCCAGTAGCAACACTGGGTTCCTCTGCAACCTTCCTCCCTGGACCACCACCAAGAAGCCACTGGCAAGCAATACTCAGGGTAAACACTAACCATGCACACAGAATTCTGCTATATGCCTTAGGACAATTCCTGAAGAGCAGTGCTATTCTGAAAAGAAACTGCACAGAAATAGCTCCTTCCTACTGATTTGAAGGGACTAGAGATTAGCTTTAGGTTAGGGGCCATAGATTTAGACTGCTGACTAAGGATTAATTTTATTGCTTTTTACTCCTGATAAACCAGCATACCTAAGATGAAATAGATTCCAGTTTGTTCTCCTTGTGTAACAGAATTGTTTACGAAGATCCCGTCAGTTGCATAGGTGCCAACCCAATAAAGACAAAGGGTCTATTATAGCCTACAGAACCTGGATTAGTGGCCATGAACAACATGGAAAGAACCTGACTTGATTCTCAGAGCCTGGGAAGAGTTTGCAGGGTTGGCAGTCAAGAAAGCTATTCTTCTTGTCCATGAACACTTTTGATCTCAAAGCTAGAACAATGACTTCTGTCCAGGCAATTTTCAGAGTGGAAATGCATTTTAAAGTTTGAGGCAAAGATTCTAGAAGCAAATACAGTCCACAGGTAGGACCAGGTAGGACCAGGATATCTGGACCTTGCCCAGAGGGTGCTAAGCACTAGGGATGTAAAATTTCAATTAATTGGCTAATTGAATAGTCGATGCAATTTCCATCAACTATTTGATTAGTCGATAAGGGCACCCCAGGGTTGTTGCTACACTTCAAAGGTGAAAGCGCTGCAGGGAGCACCGGGCCAGTGGGGAAGTCCCCAGCTGACCCCTGGCTCCATGCAGCACTGCTGCTTTGAAGAACCCTCTTCTCTACCCTCCTTGCTGCCTCTTTCTGACTGGGGGGAAGCAACTAGTCAACTAGCGTGTTGACTATCCAGTAAACATTTGCTTATCGGACAGTCAACTAGTTGTTCAAATCCCTCCTAAGCACCAGTAGACGGTGCTAGACTAATAAAGCTGGCCTGGCTATTCAGTATCAAGCTCACCACAGGGCGACAAATGTATCTCTGGACTGATCTACCAGGCCACCCCTGTGGAGTGCTATGAATTGGTGATGCCATGACCTGTACTTAACATGCCAGCTGGAACTCTCTAGAGTCAGTGGCTAAACGCTCATCCTTACTTCAGCCTATTTCCCCACTTAAGAACAAAACATCATGAAATTGCACTTAGCTTTCAAAAAATCACTGGTATTAAGTTTCATCCCAAAATGATCCAGATCATATTCTTTCTTGGAGTAGCTTTGCAGTAGCTCAGGGGAGGACAGAGAACAGCAGGCAAGCTGAGGCATTGGGGAGGGGATGGAGCAGGAGCAGGAACAGGAAGAGACAGATCAAGGGCAGGACCTTGGGCAATGGAGCAGAGCGAGGGCAGATCCTCAATTGAGGGCAGAGTGGAGATGGAAGGAAAACTAAGGCCTGGGCAACGGATATAAGTTACACAATTTCACCTATTTAAATAACGCCGCTGAGGTCGATGCATTAGGTCTACTTACTGCAGTGCCTTCACTGCAGTGAATTGATGGCAGATAGCCTCCCTTCAACTCCTCCTATGCTTTTCATTCCAGTGGAGTACAGAAATCGATGGGAGAGCACTATAGGTGATAAATCGACCCCCACTAGATTCATCGATCCGGCAGGGAGCGTAGATGTGCCCTAAAAGTCGGTGCTTACGACTCCATCAGCCTGTCGATCCGGCAGGGAGCATAGATGTGCCCTAAAAGTCGGTGCTTACGACTCCAAGAATCTGAACAGGAGATACTGTCTGAAAAAGATAGATATGCATTGCCACCATATAGCTTGGAAAATCTGCCTGTGTGATAAAGAAGCATAGAGACACTACCAATTACCTCCTATATTAAAGGTAGGATCAAGGCTTGAGGTCAATATGCTCTTCAGAGAAGAGAGAGAGTGCAAGATCCAAGTAACTAAGAATAAGAAACCACCTACTGAGTGATACACTCAATATATTCCGTAGTTATAATGGAAGTTTGTACAAGGCCAGCAAGTATTTCCAAACTAGGACTCCACTAGATCAACTTGGACAGTGCACGTGAGAAAACCAAGACAGCCAGAGTTCACCTCCAGTGATATTTTTAAGTCAATGAACCCTAGAAGTTTGTCAGAAGGGAACACTCACATGTGCTATAGCACTATTCAGTGCAAAGAGTCCACTCCCACACAAAGTCCATATTGCACCAAACTCAAGAGATGAGGGTCAAGAAGGCAGCCTCAATTCTCCCAAATGACTCCCAGGGACACAACTACTAGGCAGAGAAGTCAAAGAAAAGCTGCAAAGTTGGGCACAAGAGGTGAAATGGAAGGTCCAGCTGTAGGAGTGTAAATTAGGCCTTTATTAAGATTAGGGAATCTGTGTCCAATTATATCAAAGGACAAAATTCTGCCATTACCAAACCCTAAATTCAAAAGGAACATATGCTTTAGCACCTTCCTCTGTACACCTCCTCAGTGAGAGGTGCCATATACCAGAACTGCTAGAACAGCAACAAGCCATGAAAGGCTGTGTGTTAGTTATACTGTATGAAAGCCAACTGTCACCTCACACACAACTGACAAGTAAAAAAACTGATTGCAACCCAATTTTCATCTGAAAAAGTGGGTTGGACCCACGAGAGCTCATGATGCCATCTACATGTTTTGTTAGTCTTTAAGGTGCTGCTAGATTATTCACTGTTTTTTAAGTTTATCCAGTTACAGACTAACTCGGCTACCTCTCTGAAACAATTTTGGGCAGGTTCTTGCAACAAAATCTTCCATGAAGAATAACCTGAAAAAGGTTAGAAAAACTTTAGGGAGAGTTTTAAACATCAAAGAGAAACCTTGTAAACTGGGGTAGAACAGGCTGGGCAGATTCTCCTCAGCTGCAATTCCCAGTTAGGCACCAAATGGTGCAAATACACAAGTGTAACACCACTAAACAGACTATGGCATTGGACAATTTGCCCCCCACCCCCACCCCAAATGAAGATGACAACCCTTGAGAAGACTGCTAGGTCAGGACCCAACCACCTTAGCTGCACTAGTACAGGAGCACACAGATTCTAACTGCATGTTACTATATACAGGACAACATGATTTTAACAACTGTGATAAGAAGGATTATAGCGATTGTCCTTATAGAAACACCTTGCCAGTCATAATCAAGCCAGAGAACACTATACGACAGCCTGCATGGCCTCGCCACGCTATGAGGAGACTTGGAAGAATTCTATTTTAATTTTGTGTAATTTTGATAGTTACTAAGTTTATTGTAAATATTTTTCTTCCATTTTTATTGATTTAAAACTTACCAGTTTCAGGAAATTATGGAGGATTAGACAATTATTTAATGATAGATGTTGAGATTTAAAAAGTTTAAAAATGTAGAACAATTAAAACAAACTGTTAGCATTACATCAAAAGATATCAAGGAAATATCCATAAATCAAACTTCAATAACTTCTCAAGCAGCATTTTTCTTACTTTGCTCCTCTGTAAATTTCAACCAGTACTGACAGAAATGTTTTGGTAAGCATAGTGAACTCTGTGTTTGCTGACCATTACCAATAAATATCTAATAAATATCCAACTCGACTCTAACACACAACTGGAAGGGCAAGGAGGTAATTCGTGCACACAAGAGCATGCTAACTTTTGTCACAAGAACTGGAAGATGGAATTTCCAGTTCAATACCAAATAAGACCACCAACCTCTGAGACTCTGTCTATCACGCCCATCTCCTGGGTATCCAAATGCAGAGGTGACCTCAGAGGCCAGTCCCGCAAGTCAAACGTGACCCTACACACCCAACCAACTAACGGGGGTGCAGCTTCTGCCTGGGGTGCAGAGTAGGGAGAAAGGGACTGACTGGAGGAGACCAGCGGCCCCAGACCACCAGACAGGACTGGAGATCCAAAGCCATGCCCCGGGACAGGGACTGGACCTGTTACTCACGAAAGCAGAGCCCAATGCCTCCCTCCCAGGACCCCCCCACCCC